CTTCAGAAGCTCAAGTTCATACTTCATCTGATGCAAAATGATCCCTTTCTCAGAGTACATAAACTTCATCCCTAGAAAGTAACTCACTTTTCCAATATCTGTTATCTCAAACTCATTCATCAGAACCTTCTTGAACTTAACTATCTCTTGTTCAGAACTTCCTGTTAGCAATATGTCATAAATATACAAACATAACAGAATCATATTACCTTCTAAAGTATGTTGAACATAAACACCATGCTCCATCTCACACTTCTGAAACTCTTGTTCCTTGAAAAATGAATCAATCTTCAGATTCCAGGCTCTGGGTGTTTTCTTCAGTCCATACAAGGCTTTGTGTAATTTGAACACCATCCCTTCCTGATTCTTTTTCTCAAATTCAGAAGGTTGTGACACGTATACCTCTTCTTGTAATGGACCATTCAGAAATGTAAATTTTACATCTAAATGCATCAGAGGCCAATTCCTATTAGCAACTATTGCAATCACTAGTCTGATTATTTCATGTCTTGCTACAAGTGCAAACACTTCAGAGTAATCCAGCTCAGGCTTCTGTAGAAAACCTCTTGCTACTAATCTTGCTTTGTGTTTTCCAATTGCTCCATCTGGAATTAACTTCTGCTTAAAAACCCATCTGACGTTGATGGCTTTCTTGCCTTTTGAAAGTTCTGGAAGCTTCCAAGTCTTATTTCTCTCTATAGCATCAAGTTCTTATTTCATGGCTTGCAACCAGAATTTCTGCTTAAGAGCATCTTCCGTACTCACGGGTTCAAAGTCTACTAACATTGCACATTGAATAATTTATTCTTCGGAGTCTACTTCAGTGTCTTGCAACATATCAAACTCTGCAAATCTTCTTGGGATGCTTCTGACTCTTTGTTGCCTCTGAACTTGAACTTCAGGACCTCATACACCCGAACTTTCCCCTTCAGAAGCTCTTGATTCAGAAAAAGGACTTTCTCCAGAACCTTAACTGTCTTCAGAGTCTGGAAAATTCCTAGAGTCTGAATCACTATCAGGGTCAGAGTCAGAATCATCTTCACCTTCTGAATCTTCTTCAGAGTCAAAGGATGAATTTCCTTCAGAAGCTCCTGCTTCAGAAAGTCCATCCTTAGAGTCATGATTTTCACTAGAAGCATGATCATCTTTAGAAGCTTGTCCTCCAGAACCTACATCTTTATAGTTTTCCCTTCTAGATGTATGATCACCACCAAAGGAGAGTCTGATCATGAACCTATGCTATTAATGGCTTATGAATTTGATGAGGAACCGGTGAAATTGTCATTTTCTGATTCTGAAGGGGAAGAAGATGACTCTGAATATTCTGACTCTGAAGGACTGTTTGAATATGAGTCCAAATCTTCAATGTCATCTTCTGATTCAGACTCATATTCAAACACTCCTTCAGAGTCAGAATATTCAGAGTCATCTTCTTCCCCTTCAGAATTAGAAAATGAAAATGTCACCAGTTCCTCATCAGATTCATAAGCCATTAATAGCACAAGTTCATCATCAGACTCTCCTCTAGCTATATTTGCTTCTTCTGACTTCCATTCTTTTATTTGACCAGTAATCTTTGGCATAATGACCAAAGTTCTTGCAACAGTAACACTGAACATTCTTCTTGTCAGACTTCTCCTTTCCCTTTTGGACATTCTTATGCCTACTAGAGGTTGAAGCTTATGACCTTTGACCTCCATTAGTTTTCTTTCTGGCTTCTGACCAAGTCTGCTTCTGATACTTCTTACCAGAAGTTACTTTCAGAGCCTGCTGCTCTATTTTCCTCTCAGAAGTTCTCTCAGTCATACGCAACTCATGCACCTCTAGACTACTTTGCAGCTATTCAACTCTCATGGTGCTCAGATCTTTAAAATGTTCAATTGCTACCACAATGTAATCAAACTGTGAAGTTAAAGATCTCAATACATTCTCTATGATTACTTGTTCAAAAAGAGTTTCTCTACAAACTTTCATCTCATTATTGATTAGAATCACTCTAGAGATATACTCAAAAACCTTCTCGTTGTCCTTCATGTTGATATTCTCATATTTATTTTTTAAGGACTGAAGCTTCACCTTATTCATTGATGTGTCACCACCGTAACATCTGACCAGTGTGTCTCACGCATCCTTTGTTGTTTCAGAGTCATCAGTCTTCTCAAACACATTCACATCAACATATTGATGGATGTAGAACAATGCCTTATGATCTTTCTTCTTTATCATCTTCTGCGTTATCTTCTGTGCTTCTGTCGCATCTGTTGCTAATGGAGCATAGTCATCGGTGACAAGATCTAACACATCTTGAGAACCGAACAATACACGCATCTGGATCTTCCAACGATTCTAGTTTTTTCCATCAAACACTGAAAGCTTGGAATTGATATCGCTGTTTCCGTTCGTCTTCAACCTTGTGCAGTTCACTCAAAAATTCATTAAAACACGGTGTTTTCCAAATCCCACAGAATCAGGAAAATGTGATTCTCAATCACACAACACCTCACTGCTCACTCGTGTTTTCCGTGAATTTTGAGCCGGAGCTCTAGATACCAATTATTGGTGCACAAGGAGAGGTGAAAGACAAAAAAAAAATTGAAAGACGGCTACAAAATAAAGAGTAATGAATAATTACATTGAGATACTATTAAGCTATTTATACACAAAATTATAGTATAATAAAATACTAAAATATCCTCTAACAAACTTAATCAATAAAACATTCTTAAAATATAAATTATTTCTAACACCGAAAAGCCTACACCGTATGCCTACACTATCAAAAATACAACCTCTTCACGTGTTTATTTGTATCTACGGATAAAGTGATAAAGGATAATTAAATATATTAAAAAAACAAAACCGTATAAATATACGGTGTCAGTGTCACTTTTAGTGTACAAATGTCTTTTCTCAAAATATTAGAACTAGGATAAGTTATTAAGTTTCCCAACAACCTCAACTACTTTGGCAACACTATAGCCAAATTTTCTCTACTAATAATGAAACCCACAAGAAAAACTAAATGCAACAACTTGTCTTTTTCTATTCATTTCTCAACACATATATAGCCATAAGCTTATACACATTGAACTTTCAAATTCAAATAAAGTTGAAACCATTATTTCATTCTTTATGCTTATGGCCTCTCTTGTGCTTCTTCTATCTTTTCTAGTAAGAACAAAAAAAATTGAAAACATAGAATCCATTGTTTCTTCTACATCCTTTGACATTATTGAAGATGATTCATGTTTGTATGCAAGATGGTCACATAACCATGAAAGTGAGTTGGAGAAGAATATGGGAGTGAGTTTTCTACATGAGTCAAGAGTTTGTATCGAACTTGTTTAGCTAAGTTTCAGAATGTGAGTTATTGGTTTATGAAAGAATAGTGTGTAAGTGTTTAATTTTAGTTTTATTATTGTAGTAATGTATATCTAGTGATTACTTTATGTCACCTATATACCTATCTATGGTCACTTTTCTTCTTATTCTTCTTTCATATCTCTATTAAGATAGTAACTCTTTTATTATTATTATAATTATCTATTTGTAACTGTTTTTTATTTTTATAATTAGTAATTGTTGTAACTCTCTACTATTTATTTATAAAGAAAATGGATATATTTGATGATTTATATAGTGACATATTTTTTAATGTATTTATTCCTTTAATAATGAAGAGTTGCATATTTTGGTGGTAAAATCGACATGCCATGCATATATGTTTTATTAATGTTTTTTTTTCCATAAGTTTTAAACTCGTAATCTTTAATGGGGATATAGATATTAATAATTTGTTTTATATTATCTCTGTCTTGTCTTTAAATATAAGATTTAAATAAATAAATTATAAAAATTAAATTTTTTTGTTAGAATAATAAATTTATTGACTATTTTATATAATTTTATAAATTTATCTTTAAGAGAAAAAAATAATTAAAAAAAGACAATAAAAAAATTCAAAAAGATTATATAATTAGGAACAAAAATAATAATTTTTAACTTTTAAAGTGTAAATCTCGTACAATTTTTCTATTCTCATTTTTTTAGGACGGACTAATATTTTAGGTCTTTATTTGTCTTTTTTTCTGTTTTTTTTAATGATTTTTTACAAAATAAACATAAAAGAAACAGACATATTGTTTTGTCACCCCTCATTCTAGATATATTTGTCTACTTTTGATAATATTTGTTCTCCTGTTTTCTTATATTGTGTACTTTTTAAAATATTTTAGATCACATACCAATCATTTAACCGCGATTCCTATGATAAGCTCTTTGTAATTAAACAACTTATTTTTAACTCCATTTCTCTTCTTCAAAGTCAAAATTAGTGATCATCCATTTTCAGCTTTTTAAGCAAGATAGTGAAAACTACTTAGACCTCCAAAAGGAATTATAAGAATCCTCAAAGGATTCTTCTTTATGATTCTCCTTTTATCATTGATAAGTAATAAGATTTGGTACTATGAATGAGATCCTAAATTTTTGTAGTATTGACCAAATAGTATAAAAACTTTTATTTTATAAGCAAGAATAAATTAAGAGAGTATTAGGATATTTTAATCCGATTACAAAAGTTCTAAGGAAAGCTCGAAGAAAAAAGAAATTTCTAACCAAATGAGATTTAAGCTAAATAATATAATGAATTTTTGCAAAATTTATAAAAATTACAATTGGTAATAGAAATATCGCCTATAAGAAACTACTTCCATACTGATACTTAAGAGTTCCAAACGATGTGTGATACATTGCAACCTTCGTTATTGAACACGAAATCGTTTCTCACTCTCCATAAATTTCAAATGACCGCCATCCACACAATTGATTAATTTCCCGATTTCACTTTTTGTTTTTACAAAAATGAAACCAATGCATAAAACTCCCCCTGAACGAATCTTGAGGGGGAAGCGCCATCCCAATCCAATTTGATATGATTTCCCAAACCGAACTTGAAATAACATAGCCCAATAAAAAGATGTAACAGATTTTCCTCCGCATTAGAACAAAACACGCAACAGTAATTTGAAGTAGGATCTAAAATACCTCGACGAATTAATTGGTCCTTCGTTGCAATCCTATAATGAAAACATCAACAAAAAGCTCTAATGCGAAACAGGACTGATGATTTCCAAACCAAAGAAAAAATATTCTGAGAACTAGTCAGCAGAGGCTCCTGCTGCCAAACATAAACAAGCTTCTCATACCCACTCTTCGTCGAATAACTTTATGCCAGTTTCGAATTGAGCTTTATCAGTATCCGAAACAACTGGAATATGATAATCTAAAATCTGCATCAGTTCCTGAAATTCACACTGTAACACGCTGTCCGCGCCGAATTGGGAATCATTCGAGATGCCTAAATCCCCCAACACCAAGAATCTTGCACCAACACCCCTATTTCATTGACGGAATTTCTGTTTGTCGTGCTCAGCCCGTATAAACCAAGAAACACCAATTTCAAAATGCGATTTCCAGCCCATGAAGCATGCCAGAAAGGAATGACAACCCCGCTGCCCAGCAAAAACCTGTAATTACCGGTGAAAATGTCATCATGTTTCCTCTTTTCCATACATGTAATATCCTTCCACCATGTCGATTATAAACCTCCACCCCTTGAGCTGGCTCCGGAAAGCACATGTAAATTTAAATCTCCGTATCTCGCCCTAAGAGTGTTGATCCACAAAGAATCTCCTCTTGCATTACTCTCCATTTCCATTTTAACAGTAACACCATATTAAACTCTCCGATTATCTTTAATCCAAAACCACCTTTATCGATTGGAGAACACACCTTATCCCACCCTATCCAATGTATCCTCCTTTTATCTTATGATCCTCCCCAAAGAAAATTACTCTGAATTCTAGCAATTTCTTTGCAAATCAAAATCGGGGTTCTAAAGAATGAAAGTTGAAAAACAGAGACTACACATAACCGATTTCAATTAGGTGATTCTCCCTCCCAAGTTGAGAAAACTTCATGTCCAACTAGTTAGCCGCATCTTCAATTTTTCAATCAAAGGACGCCACGAGGATACCTGAACGCGGATTAGAACCAATTTGCATGCCAAGGAAAGAAAACACACAACCTTCAATACTACAAGATAAAAAATTAGCGGCCGCATTCAGAAAATGATTTCTCAAGTTAAAATCGAACAAATTACTCTTATGGTAATTAACCCCTAATCCCGATACCACTTTAAACCCTCTAAGAATCGTTTTAAGGGCCCATATGTGTTTCCACCCTCCTTCTCCAACCAAAAAATGTCGTCCCCAAACTGCAAGATATCCACAACACAACTTCCCTTAATCTTGAATCTCAAGAATTCACCAAGATCATTGGGCTTCCTAACCAGACTGGTCAACCCCTCCGCTACTAGAACAAACAAAAAAGGAGATAAAGGATCCCCCCTGTCTCAACCCCCTTCCCACACAAAATTCTTTCGTTGGGCTACCGTTCACCAAAACCGACATGTGACTATTGAAAACTAAATCCTCCATCCAAAGGAACCACTTCATCCCAAATCCCATCTTGGACATAATGTATTTGAGATACTTCCAACTAAACTTGTCATAAGCCTTTTAGAAATCGACCTTAAAGAGCACACATCCCCTCTTGTCTTTCGATGCTAGATCCACAGCCTCATTTGCGACCAAAATATTGTCTAACAATTGCCTACCCGAGACAAAAGCGCTTTGGCAAGGGGAAAATAACAAGTTTAAAACTTTCTTCAACCTAGCCGCAAGGATCTTAGATAATGCCTTATACAAGTAACCAACCAAGAAAATCGGCCTATAACTATCTAGACCCGATGAAGTATTGTTCTTTGAAATAAGAGTAAAAAAAGATGAGGTTATCACTTTAGATAATACTCAACTCCCGTGAAAGTTATTAAATAAAAGAACGAAATCCTTTTTAAAAAAATACCAACACGTACTAATAAAAAGGAAATTGTAACCATCCGAACCCAAGCTCTTGCCACCTTTACACCCCCTATCGCATCCTTGATTTCGAGCTCAGAAAAAGGCGCCTCTAAGGAAGCACTCTTCTCTAAGGATAAAGAGTTAAAAGAAATTCCTTCTAAAATAGGTCTATCGAGTTCTGGTTCTACAAACATCTCCAAAAAATACCTCCTCACCTCTTCCTTAACATCTCCCACCGATTCCACTAAACCACTCGGAGACAAAAGATAGCCAATGAAGTTTCTATGACGTCTTTTCTTCATAACACCATGAAATAATCTTCTATTAGAAACTCCATATCTATTCCATTTCAACCTAGATTTTTGGAAAAGGACATTCTATTGGATCCTCATGTTCAACCATATGCGACAACTAGCGGCACTCTTTCTAGCCACCACCTTTTCAATAAGATTGCCCCTACAAGATTCCAAGATTTCACTTGCTTCATTAATCTCCCCCATACCACCTTCTATCTCCAAATCTAACTTCCAGAAAATATCAACTTTCCATTTCCGTAAACTATCCTTCAAAAGCCTCAACTTTTCCTTGATAACAAAGTCTTCTCTACCATACACCTTTAACTTGTTCCATTCTTTTTCCATAAATGGTAAAATATCAACGGAATCAAACCAAGCATCATTGACCCTAAAAGGTTTAGGGATCCAATCAGAATTATTAACGACGGTCCATATAGGACAGTGACCCGAAATGTCCCTGCTACCAACACTTTGACCCACTACACCCCAACTATCCACCAAAGGTTTCGAGATAAGGAAACGATCGAGCCTACTCCTAGCCCTCCCATCCTCGCTGTACCAAGAAAAATATTTTCCTATACAAGGAACCTCAACAAGCAAGCTATCCTTGATAAAACCGGCCAAATCATGCATGTCCGAGTTTCTACTAACCACCCATCTACCCCTCCTCTCATTACTTCACGCAACCACATTAAAATCCCCATCCAAACTCCCCTCCCTATTCGTATATTTCGACATCAAACCAAGTAAAGAATTTCAAAGAAGTCTTTTCAACAACAATGAACAAGGAGAGTAAATGTTGACAACATAAAATAATTTCTCCTTCCATCTCATCTTCACCCCTAAGAAATGACACCTTTAAAGCTGAAAATCTCGATGCAACTACCCTGTTTCCTTAGAGAAATCAAACCTCCAGATAAACCCACCGAGTTAGAATAAGACCAACCCACTATATCATTACCCTACAGACTCTTCGCAATTCTGTCATTGGCAATATCCAGTTTAGATTCCTGAATGAGAAATATATCCGCCTTGCCCTGATTAATAATTTTGCTGATACACTTCATGTTGACCAAACTGTCACACCCTCTAATGTTGAAAGAACCGATAATCATGGAAACTAGTTATTAGGCACCTTCTGTAACAACATCTTCTCTTTATCTCTATCTTCCATATGTTGGATATTCTTCTTAAAATCTCTACCTGTACTTGTAACCACCACCCCCAAGTTAGATATAGCTTTCCATATCTTTTCTCCCACATTAGATTCAAAGTTATTTTGAAACATAAAATTGCAATGAAACATGTCCTCCATCTGAAGTTGGGTCGTTGCACAAAGTAACTCCTTCCAAAAACCTGTCTTCATCCTCTTCTAGTATTCTCGAATTTTTAGGAAAAGGAGTACCTTCCTTCTGATCTCTACCGTTCGATAAAAAGATTGTTAGGCCAAGATCAACTGGATTAATAGCTAACAAAGATCTCTTTTTGGGCCTTACTTTTTTAGTAGAAAGAGGCCCAACCACTTCATATATGATTTTAACTTTTTTACTTTTTAAAACATATTCTTTACCATCAGTAACTTTATCAGCATATTTAAAAAAGGTATCCACAAAGCAACTCACTACGATATCCACAGATTCAAGAGATTTGGACAAAATCCTAGGGGTTCCACTCACTGATAGTCTATGAGTAGAAATTTCCTTGGACACCCCAAGGGCTTCATCGAAAGTACACGGAACAAATGCTTTATCCTCTATAAACCTAGGATCAGAACCCCTAAACTCTGTATCGTCCTTTTCCACCAAACTGCATGACAAGTTAACATTAGTCGTTCCATCTTCTGCCAACAATATTCTTGAAGCAACCAAATCATTGGAAGAGAACTCCCTAGTCTCATCCAAATTGTTCCCATCCAACTGCTTCAACCATCTGTCCTTCGACTCTGATGAAGAAGCATATGCCATAAAAGGAGATTTCTTCTGGTTTAGAATAATACGCAAAGGCCCATGAGAGTCTTCAGAGAACTTGATACAAAATTTCTCATCCCCAATCAATACTCTAAAAGAATCGTTCAACACCGCTGCGCTTGAAGTTCTCACCTTGATACGAGCGTTATCCATATTTCCCCCCTTCAAGGTACTCTCATTTGCACAGACATAAACTCCAACTTTGCTGGCCACAAGATTGAAAAAGTAAAAGCTTCAAGCATGATAGGGGATTCCATATATCCTCAACCAGGTTACTCTCTCGTTGTCAACATCGTTTTACTTCCATGCCCTAATTTCTGAAAACCACTTCCTCAACCATGTTTCTCCATCCCTTATCAAAGTTATCAATCTCACCATCTTCACTCTCCTCCAATAAACACATACTAGCTCCTGTAATACGGTGGGAGAACTGACTTGGATGTTTTGCGTTTGAGCGTAATTGTTGCGGATAGCAAGAGTCGCCACCGACTTTTCTTTTATCCAAAAGGAAAGGTTGAAAAGAACAGGAAAGACCTTTCGAGATTTATTTCTTGAGTTTGGGGGGTACTTTATGAAGAGGGAAGGTATTAGCACCCTTTTCATCCGTAGTTATCTACAGGATCTTAGTTTCTTGCTAGATCACTTGCTTTTATTTTGAAATGTGCTTGTAGTGTGGGTTTTGAAAGTATTTTGAAAACGTATTTGTAATGGTTCTCGTTTCTATAAGAACGCATACAAAGTGTTGTTTGGAAAATAGTTCAAAGAAGTGTTTGTGGAATGTGTTTTTGAAAGAGATTTTGAAAAGGTGTCTTTATAATGGTTCTCGTTTCTATAAGAACGCGTACAAAGTGTTTGTCTTTTGAAAATGTTTCAAAATGAAATTATTGGTGTATAAAATGTTTTGGTTGTGAGCAAGCGAGCAACAAGGAGCAACCTACCTACTCAAAAGGTCTTAAATGTTCTTTTCCTCCTCCTTTAGATGTTGCTATCTTACCGTTGATTTGGTAAGAAGTCCTATCGTTGGATGTGAAGGGACGGGCGTGAGACGTTTGTATAGTCATAGAAGGTAACCTATGGGACGTTTTAGCAATATCGTTTAAGGACTAGATCGTTTACCGAAGGCAACATTGAGGGCCATCGAGGGACTACGGTCTTTTATTGAGGGTCTTTGTTAAAACGCCCATATTTGAGGGACATGACTATTTTTCGAAAGGCAACAAAGTGAGATTACCCTAGAGGTGCTAGTGTGCAAGTGTGTTTGATTTACATGCATTTAGTCTTTATTAGGGGTTACCTATTTGTTGATTTTATGTCTTACCATACAAACCCTAATTACTAGCATTTATTTTTGAAAGCGATAAATTGCGGAAATGTAAAGTCCTACGCTATTACATCATTTAGGGATGGGGGTACAAGTTTACAAATGGGGGTTTGCAAGAATTTTAAATCCTAATTATCTATTACAACCATATTGAATTGTACAATATAAGAAAAAAGGAAAGGATTTGTTTTAAAAATGGTTTTTGTCTTAATAAATAAAAAGGAAAAATAATTAATTAATAAAAAGGAAAAATAATTAATTAATAAAAAGAAAATATATTTTGTTTTGTTATATTAAAGAAAAAGTATTAATGCTGAAAGTAATAAGAATAAAAAGGAAAGGAAAGATAACGAGAATAGGATCAGCACGTTGCTGAAAGCAAAAATAAAGAGGACCAGAAGTTCTGATACCAAGTGCGTTGTGGTTCAGAAAGAAATGTCAGAGGTAATCATAAGTTCTGGGTTGATGCACGTTGAGGTCCTGAAAGAAACGTTAGAGGGAAAAACAGAAGTTTTGGGTCGCTACACGCTGAAGTTCTGAGTGTTAGAACAGTGAGAAAATCTTAGAAGTTCTGTGTGTGTTAAAACAGTAAGAAAGCCTAGAAGTTCTGTGTGTTAAAACAGTGAGGAGAACTCAGAAGTTCTGTGTGTGTTAAAACAAAAAGAGAGCCTAAAAATGCTGGTGTTGTGTCATAACAATGTGAAAACCTAGAAGTTCTGGTGTGTTAAAACAGTGAGGAGAACTCAGAAGTTCTGGTGTGTTAAAACAGTGGGAAAGAAAACCCAAAAATTATGTGTTACACTTCACCTCATTCCTTATATTAGTCAGAACATCTGATACTTACTCAGTTCTTAACAACAACAAAAGCACGACAATTTATAGAAGTTCTAATTCTAATTCTGATCCTAGTTTTCTTCAAGAAGTTCTGATCCACAATTTTTTCTACTTGGGCAATGATATAGACAGTACCAACGCTATGCTATTTACATATTTGATGATGTTTTGAATGGAAGATTTAAAGTCAGAATGACTTACCTTAAATCTGAAGCGTGTATTTGGGACCTGAGCTGCTGCCTCTGAATGTTCTGGGGTCAGCAAGAAACATAACAAAAAATGTTATGTTCTTTTGTTCAAAGGGAAGAACAAAAATATTGTTTTGAGAATTCTGGGTTTTGAGAATGTTTGACTGTTTTCTTTTCTCTCTTTTTTGTATTTGATAATTCTCTCTTTTCAAAAGCCAGTCCCTTGAACGTGAGGTGGAGCAACTTATTTATAGGTGAGTTTGTTATGGTTTTCGGGGGGGGGGGGGAAACAAATGGGATTTAAACCCTTTTGGCATACTGTTCCATTGTTTTTTAAACACAGGTTTCATATGCTAATTTGGTGCAAATATGGGGTTTGAGAAAGTGCAGGCGTGGACTAGATCAACAACACTTTGGAGTGTTGTGGTAGCTGGTTGCAGGACTGTGCTATAGCAGTGCAGCAGGCTGCTCAAACGAGGTTTTTGGATTTGGTGATGTTCTGATCGCAGAAGACCAGAATGAAACTAGAAGGGTGATGTTCTGATCGAAGCGTAAAACATAGTCTCCATATGCTGAAGAGTCATGTTCTGATCGAAGAACACAATTTCCTTATGTTCTGATTGAAGAGTCATGTTCTTAACCGGCTTTGCAAATTTTGGTTGCGCTAGCGTGAGATCTGGCCCAGAAGTTCAGAACTTGTCATATTTTCTCAATACTTAGAAAATTTTCCAAGTGTTTAGAAATTTGACTTTTTTCAAAGTAATTTCTGACTTTTTATTTCTTGAGGAACCAATTTCATATCTTGATGAAATATGATTTTTGAAACTTGATTTTGATCAAAAAGTCAAAGTTTGACTTTTCAGTGTGCTTTTGACCATTTCGCCCTTGTGAATGACTTTCTTGGAAAATTGTAATCCAAGACTTGAAACTTGACCGAAGCAATCCTGAGGGTCCAAGATGATCCCTTGGGAAATGAAAGGGAAAATTTTGGGGTACAACAGCTGCCCCTGTTCAATCTTCTTAAATCTGAAGAGTTAGATTGGCAAATCTGCCACTCATGACTTGAAGGTGGAAGATGATTGAACACTAGAGTGCCCACAAATTTGCACTTGATCATTTTTTGGTTGAGGTGTTAGGAATGGGCTTAAAGATGCCATTTGGAAAAATGCTGGAGAGTTGTCGGAGATGGGCTTATAGATGTTATCCAAAGGTGATTGTTGACAGAAATTAGACTAAGTCTAAATTTGACTTCAACCGAAAAAGAATCAGAATAAATCTTGCAGTAATTTATCTGAACCAGAGGGAATGTCTTCCAGAAAGAATCAGGATAAACCATTTAGAGATTTAAACTGAACCAGCAGAGGTCTGGAAAGAATCAGAATAAATCTTGGAGCGATTTATCTGAACCAGAGAGAATGTCTACCAGAAAGAATCAGGATAAACCATTGAGAGATTTAAACTAAACCAACAGAGGTCTTGAATATTTTTTAATTTGTGATGGGCATGTGTAGGGCGGCTATAGGAGACATATGAGAGGGAAGCCTGGGTAGGGTTGCCTCAGGATGAGTCCGTGTAAAAATGCATCTGGAGATTGTGAGGAGGAACCTGGGTAGGGTTGCCTCAGGATGAGTCCATGTAAAACTTCAGAAGGAGGGTGTAATGAGAAGGAACCTGGGTAGGGTTACTTCATGATGAGAAGAAAACCATGTAAGATTGCTTCACAATGAGCCCATGTAAAGTTGCACCTGGTCACATAGGTAGTTGCTCTGTCTTGCTTCAGAAACTAACCTTGGACATGTTGAAAATTGTTGATGATAGCCATCTGTTGATTGACCTTTTCCTAAAAAGGTAAAACGTTTGTTGTATGCAATGTCATGATGTGTGAAATGCATGGTGTCCTCTAAATAAATGAGATTATGTCGTATGCATTTATCATGTATATAAATGGGATGTGTGAAATGTTATTGAAGTGTATCTTTGTCTGGGAAAATAAATCCTTGACAAATTTTGGGGAGTATTGGGAGGCTGGATCCCGGATGACCGTTGGGGATGAAGAGTATGCCCATCTTCAAACCTTGCTTGGAATGTTTCCGCTGGGGAATCCTGTTTTGTTATTTGAAGAGAACTCCGTTGAGGGGTTTTGATTTTGCTTGAGAAGAAAACTCTATGGAGAGTGTTGATTCCTGCTTGGGGATAAGAGTTCAGGAGTTTTAGTTATCTGTTGCTCTACTGGGGAGTTATCTCTTATTAACGACTTGTTGGGGATAAAGAAGTTAACTATTATCTGGTTGTCTTCCAGGTTTTGCAGCAGCTTACTGGGGATTGTAGGAAAGTCTACTGGGGAAGAGGAGTTGTGGTCGCTTGACTTGTAGTAGTCTGGGAGGAAAATTCAAGCTGGGGAATCTTGCCGTTTGTCGGGGAAATAAACCCTGTTGCCAATCTGTTGGAGAAGTGTTTTCTTTTGGCCAAACTCCTCGAGGATTCTTGAGATCAACTCAGTTGGAGATTCTTTCAGAGATTGAAATTCTGGCTGGGGGACCACCCTATGAAAAGGACTTTGTGGGAGATTTGTCACTTCCCCTGGTAGTAAGTGTTTGTAGTATTGCCATGAAATGTTTGTCTGGCCGTACGTAACCCTTTGTTGGAGTTCATGTTCAGTGCCCTAAGTGATTCAGATACAAACTCGCCCCTGGTTATTCAGCATTTCTTAGGAGATTTCTTGGAATATTGACTTGACTGCCCCCAGATGTGCTAGATAATGACACATCATGCCCACTTGATTATAGGAGATCTGTTATTGGAGGCGTCTT